TCTAACAGGGAGCAAAGATTAAACTAAAATAATTAAAATTGTGTCATTTGTGATTGCTACTAGAATCAGAATCAGAATTGTTACATACTAAGAATAGCACAAAGGTGTTTTGACTTAGAGTATAACATGCTTAAGAAACATAAAATGGTATATTTTTAGTAATTTTGTTAATGTCATCCTGGATAATTGCCATTTGTCAAATGTCAGAGTTGCTTTTCTTCCATTAGGTAGCCAACATTTTTAGCCAAGAGCTAATGTTTAATAGAAGGTCAACACCAGCACCATATCAACAAGTCAATATACTTGTTTCACCCTGTGCAGGACTATTAAACATGGTGTATCATGGACCTGTCCTACAGCAGAGACTAGACCCTGTTTATCTGTCAGCAGTCTCTGTGCCTGCCTCCCCCTGGGGGTGATGATGGACTTAAACACCCCTCCAGGCAGGATCCAAAACTCTGACAAGAAATGATGTGAATCCTCCAAAAGGTTGTAGGGAACGACTGATGGCCTCTCAGATAGAAGCAGACTCCCTGCCTTAAGGCATAGTTATTGCCCCATCTTTGCCCAACCATCCCCATGTTTGGCCGTCTCTGCAGGCAGCAAGCTGCTCTGAGACACAGCTATCTGAGTTTTGTACCGGACTGGATGTGAGCCCTGACACACTCAGTAGTAGAGTGCACCCTGGCATGAAAGTCTTCAGCCTTTTCATCTGAGGTAGAGCATGGTCAGCCAGACCCAGGGAAGGTACAGTGCATGCTGGGAGATCACTGTGAAGCTCACTGCACTTTCCAGTGTGCTGCTAAACCTGGATGTTAATACAGAGAATGCACAGGCCTTAGCCTATATCTTTGGATGTAATGGTGGAAGAATAGTTCAAATAGCATAGAATGTGAAGGCACATGCTGTTGACATTATTGTGCAGATACTGTATGTTGCCCTTTTTTTTAACGTGACCAGGTTTTCATAAAAATATTCAGTGCATCCACAAACATTTAGGAAAAGTGTCTATATAAGAATTTAGACAATAATGGGTCAGGCTTTTAGTATTAACCATTCAAGGCAGCTTGATCTAGTTTATCTTAAAAAAAAATACAAGAATTTTCTTAAGGCATGAAGGAACCCTTAATCTTTCACGTTCATGGTTACACGGTTTTCACAAGACAAAAAGGGTATAAAAACTCTTATCTGAGAATTATCCAGCAAATGTTAGTCTGGACCAGAATAGACTAAATTAAACATGTTCACACTGATATTGTTTGGCTGTGTGATGACCACAATGTCAGGTTCTGTTAATAAAATAATGCCCATGAATGCCAGCTAGTGAAATAAAAAGGCATAATTATTTCATTGTTATCAGGTTTAAAGCCATACAGCTGAACTTAGACATTTGCAGCAAATTTGCTAGATGGAGGCATGTGTTAAAAGGCTAAACATTTATTTAAATCTTTGCTCTCTAACACTGGTGTGCAACTGAGTCTCTCTGAAGTTTCTTGAACTTTTTTGCCACCTTGAGATCCTGCACTATTAAACAAACCCACTGTCAACAATCAGTGAATTTGGCCAGCCCTCTATCCTTCTTTTGTCTCTGCAAATGAAGCTGATGGATGAAAAAGCACCCCAGTGCTGTCTCCTAGGTAATGTGGTGTGAACAGCCCTGTCGATATCTTCAGGGTTAACAGGATGGAAAGACGAAGGCAGAGATGTGTGTGTGTGTGGGGGGGATGTTTAGGAAAAGCTGTGTATTTAGAGCGGGACACAGGAGCAGGGTCAACTCTCAGGACAACTTAATATTTAATCAACCCTCTTCACCAGTAACCCTAAACCCCACAATCCCCTCTGGTCGAGCAAGGAGACAAGTGGGAGGGGGGGAGAAAAGGGAGAAAGGTGGGAGGAGGGCAAGACTACACTTTAATTTTCAAATTATCTTGTGCTTTGAGTGTGAATTAAGTGAGCGAGTGATGGAAAAGAGAAAGAAAAGGTGAGACAAATGAAAATAAAATGGACGACATTAAAGTGTTCTCCATCATACAGTCTGGAGCTCAATGGCCGGGCTGTTTCAGGCAAGGTTGAAGAAAGCTATACGCACTTCATGATGGTGAATGATGGCATGATGAATACAGCTGGGAGCAGAGACATTATAATGTTGGGTCAAAAATCCATTCATAAAGGTGCTTGCTAGTGATGCTCAGTGATCTGGAGCTGCGGCTTAACAGCTTCATCGTATTATTATGAAACAGACAGCTTCAGCCATCAGTCTTCATTGGTTCTTTAAAGGGGTTATACACAAAAAACCCACAAAATAATTAGAATACTTTTACTGTTGTCTTTAAACCACATTAATAAATAAATCAATAAATAGGTGCAATTAAAAGTGGCTTATTAAAAACAACATAAAACTGTCAATAAATTCATCGTTGTAACAATTCACTAATTCTGATATAAATAATTGAACTTCCAAATAAATTTGAAAATGCAATTATAAAAGGGAAATAAACAGCATTTATGTGACACTCTGGACTATTATCCGGAGGTAGGCAGATGTTATGGCATAAGCAGTCTACATTTATGAGAAACAGAGATTTTACTGTGAAAAACAAAAGTTGCAAACATGCGGGAAGGTTCTGCTGAAGACCTTTTTGCCCTGTTGTATTAGCACTAGGCTCAATGTCACACACATCATTGTTAAATAAAAGAGGAAAAGGAAGATGGAAATTCAAGGGAGTGGCTCATAGCAAATGAATTTCAAATTTCTATGACAAAAATGATGATGAGGTTTTTCTGAAAATGGAGTCATGAGAATCATATGAGTTTATCTGTTTAGGCCTATTAAACTGCTTCCTTAATGTTGATCAAACCTGCCCTTCACATATACTGTAAATAATAAATAATATATTGTTACAAAGTTGACATTCTGGCCTGAAGATGGTACTAGAAAGGGTGTCTAAAATAGAATGGGTTAGTCCTCTGGGAATCATAAATGCACTCAAAAACGTCTCTGCTAATCTGACCATCACATTTCAAAATTTTCCTGTGTGCAAAAGTTGCACAAGCAGAAAGGTCAGGAGGGTCAACAAGATTATTACTACTGGGGACCATGAACCACATGAAATTTCAGGGCTCTCTGGCCATGTCCCCCCTAGACAAATTAACAGCCCATGATCCAAATGGGTGCAGTTTCACACCCATGAACTTTCATACTAAAGATATATAGTATATGAAACCCTTGAACATACTGTGCCTCCCTCTGTGCTCTCTGCCAGTGCAGTGAAGATCTCTATAGCTCTCATCAGTGTCGATGTTTTTTATTCCTGCAGTTTGTTTCATTAGAAGCAGGGTTGGCACTCTGGAAACCTGACACTTTTTAGCACCTTATATGATTTATTAATCCATTATTATGGATTAACAACAATAACCCTCAGTGAAATACCTGTAAATATACCTCATACAGATTATACAGATTCGTACAGGTCTCTAGTTTTAAGTACTCTATTTTTATTCCTATTTATCTCATTTCAATGAGCTTTCCTTTGTCTGTCTGCATTGTTTACTGACTGTTTATACCGCTTATTTTGCATTGTTTGCACTGTTTGTTGCTTGTTAATACTGCTTATTTTGTTATATTACACAGACTTATGCTGGTTTACTTGCCCCTTGCATGGGAATATGTACAGTACATGCACAATGAGAGCCGATGTACCAGAGTCAAATTCTTCGTGTGTCCGACACACCTGGCCAATAAAGCTGATTCTGATTCTGACTCTGAATAACAGCACTTGAAGTATGAAGCTGCATCAGCACACGGTACCTCATCATTCCCTGGTCTCTTCTCAGTTACTGTTCAGGGCCAAGAGGATGGTGAGCAACATGTGTCTATGACCAGGCACTTTCATCCACTGCAGCTGTTGACTTCAGCTTACCTGTGGGCTCAGTGGGAAAGCCCCCTGAGCCAGCCAGCCACTATGGTGGCTTAGGGTGCTATGGCATAAGGAATAAGTGGATCCCTGATAGAATAAAAGAGGGTGGGGGGATGATCACGATGAATGGCAGGTGGTAGGCAGGCATACGGGCCACCAGAAATGCTGGCGGGTCCCATGAAGACACCGGCAGCCGAGTTCAGCACAGAGCCACCCAAACTGGTGTCAGCACTTTGGTGAGAAGCTGTGAAAAAGTGCAGAGGTGGCAGCAACATAGGGAGATGAGGTGAGGTGGTGAAAATTTAACCACTCTGATGAAAATTTTAATGTGAATGTAAAACAGGAGCGAGGGAGAGTGATTGGGTCAGGGGAGTATAAAGTCAGAGAGGCAAAAAAATGGCAGGAGGTGAAAATGGCAGGTTTGGGAGACGTCCTCATTGTCTCCCCTGCATGACTGAAATAACCGTCTGCTTCTCAAACTCCAATATGACTTTCATTTTTCCTGACACCTCAGGGTACAGCACAGCTCTTTTTTTAACCCTGGCTTGACCTCAAAAGTAACATCATATCCCTTTTCCAGTCCTGCTTCTTGATAATTAGCTGCAAGAACGCTGTTTGATTTCAAGGTCTCAGGCTACAGCACATCCCTCTGCACTGCGGCCTGGTTGATATACAGTACATGTCAGAACCCTGTAGCACTTCTGTTGACTGCCATTCACATGGTGCTACATAAAGCAGCCGGTTAACTCTGTGGTCTGCAGACAAGAGTCCTGAGAGAGAGGAGGAGAGAGAGTCAAGCAGTGTGATTACATAAGGTTTGATAACAGGCTCACTGTGGGGCTACACACTCACTAGACAGTGTTGATGGAGTCTTTCACAGGCCTGATGGGGTGTTGATTAGGATGTGCTTACACACAAGGAGCAGATGCTGAAATGGATTCTGATGTGCTTTTCTCTCTGTTTCTTCTTCTCTCTGCTTTACATTCATCACTCCTTTCATCTCCCCTTTTGCTCCTCTCTGTGTGAACATCAAATCACATCCCATTCTTTCCACGATTTTCTCCTCACTCCACTGATTTCCAGGTGCGGTGCGAGCCTCCAGCATCTTTCCCATCCTCAGTGTCATCCTGCTCTTCATGGGAGGCCTGTGTATAGCTGCCAGTGAATTCTACAAGTCACGCCACAACATCATCCTTAGCGCAGGGATCTTCTTTGTGGCTGCAGGTGAGTCTAACTCAGCAGGTATCAGGTCAGTGTGCAAGAACCTAGCTTTTTTTTTTTAACAAATGCATATCTTTAAGTTTACGGTCTCTGATAGACTAGTGGCTAAGATTCAGCACTCTCGCCACTGCAGCCCGGGTTTGAGTCAGGGTTGCATCAGAAAGGGCATCCGGCATAAAACACGTGCCAAATGTCAACATGCCAAACGTCAGTGTGACAATTCGCTGTGGTGACCCCTAATGGGAAAAGCCGACAGTGAAATTCATTCATATCTTTAAGTTTACCCGAACCATAGCCACTGAACTCCCTGGCTACCTCCTGCAGCTGTTTCACAATAAAAGCCTTTTAGTGATTAAGATAAACACTTCTTTTAGTCATGTACAGTACATTTATACCTCTTAAGTAGTAGCCTACCATCTGCATGTATCTAGTTCAAAATAAAAACCCAAACATAATTTAACAACACTGGCTGCTGCTCTAAAGGTACAGTATTTCCAGTGTCCTGAAAGTAGAGTAATAAGCTAAAGAAAGCAAATTAGCATATTTACCTAACTATCTTTATGTTGTTCTCTAAATAACATCATGCCACATTATAAATTCAGAAGGCTGTGCATGCACTGAAATATTGGTCATCTCTTGTGGCTACAAGTCACTTCTTCTTTTGTCTTGCTTTCTTTTCTCTTGATTCTGTTGCTAGGCTAAAAGCCACCCACTGGGACTTATCTCTAAAAATATGGTGTCCCTGACACACTTTCCCTATGATCCATCTTCCCAGATACACCATGTCAAACATGTATCCATGTGACCAAACTAACAAGTCAAAGTATGTGGATGGGCTGTAACAGGACACGGCTCCGACGTGGATTATTTTATAGGCTTCTCTGTCCTAAATGATCTGCATCCAGACCTGAAACTGTCCTGTTTCTTTCTGTAAGGGCAAAGATTAGATGTCCAGACAAGATCAGTACACTCTGGCTACAGTACCAGAATCAACACTTGAAATTTATTTTGGTATGATACTACATATCGATCCATGAGCTCATCCTGAATGATACTTTGTGTCTTGTTTTCTCCTTCTCTTTATCATTTTTCCTCCATCTCCTTCCTCCATGAACTCATTTACCTGCAACTCTCCTCTCCTACTGTATGGTGCCCAACCCACATCTCCCAAACTTTTAGGCCTGAGCAACATCATCGGAATCATCGTGTACATATCAGCCAATGCGGGGGATCCTTCAAAAAGCGACTCAAAGAAGAACAGCTATTCTTACGGCTGGTCTTTCTACTTTGGTGCCCTCTCCTTCATCATGGCTGAGATGGTGGGCGTCTTGGCCGTGCACATGTTCATTGACCGCCATCGACAGCTCAGAATAGGGGCGAGAGCAGCCGACTACCTCCAAGGCTCGGCCATAACGCGGATCCCCAGCTACCGCTACCGCTACAGACGCCGCTCACGCTCCTCCTCCCGCTCCACAGATCCATCCCAGTCCCGTGACGCTTCACCTGTGGGCCTCAAGGGCTTTAGCGCGCTGCCATCCACAGAGATCTCCATGTATACGCTGCCCCGGGATACCCTCAAGTCCTCTGGCACACCCACGGCCACCTACAACTCTGAAAGGGACCACAACTTCCTGCAAGTCCACAACTGCATCCAGAAAGACCTGAAAGACTCGAGCCACACCAACACAGCGAACCGTCGCACCACGCCGGTATGAGGGAGTCGACACAGGTCAGGCCAGCCCGGCGGAGAGCAAAGACCAGGAGACACGGGAACCCCTGTGGGTGCAGTATGGTCCAGGAGACTATGGATTTCTATGTTTATAGACATTTGATCTTTTTGTTGAGCTGCATGACCTTTCCATTACCATTGTTGAGAGAGTTTCAACAGGTCTGCTGTGTTCCTGGGTTGAATGGCAGAAGAGGTTGTCTGAGAGAGTGAGTTCTGTCATTTCTGCGCAGGGGTGTGTTCATGAGATCTGCGCCACTGAAAGGGAGGGTGGAAGGGTGGGGGGTTGGCATTTATGAGATAAAGAACTGATTTCATAGCCCTCTGATTTGACAGTTTTGCCCCATAGTTTGGTTGGAGCAGCAGGTCAAGCTCCCCCTCAGCCAACCCACTGATCACATGCACACCTCTGTTTATTTATTGACTCCTTTCTTCAAATTTTTGCATTAAAACTGTGAATTGTTACAGCTTGGGATTCACTAAGAATTAGCCCAACCTGTAATCTCTAACAAAGGTACTATATATATATATATGTATTACTTTTATAAATAAATTATTACGTTAATAACCACGAGTTAGAGACTTTACCGAAGCAAAAAAGAAAACAACTAAACCAAGTGCTGTTGGAAATATGAGAAAAGACTCTTTTACTCTCTATTCATTTGAAGGTTGAGAACAAGAGGTCTCTTACTGTAGGCAGCAACAGTGACTGATGCCACCAGAGCAGATGCAGACAGACAACAGTAGAATATCTATTCTTTTAATAGAACCTTCTCAACTTTTTCTCAGTCCCTGTTCGCTTTCTTTTTTCGGGCGGGTCGTAACGGGAGAGTTGAACCCCTTAACCGAAACAGCCGACAAAAGGGGCCGACACTTAACAAAGCAAAGACTCCAAACACGACTTCTACAAAATAAAAAGGAAGGAGCAGAGGGGGAAGGAAAAGAAGAGGACAACAAACGCAAAAATAAAAACAAGTTAAACGTGACATAGTACAAGAGAAGCTAAGTGACTCACAATTTCAGAAATTAAATGCATGCTATACAATTACAGCAAATCTGCTCTTGAGAAACTTAAGTTTTAAAGGTTAATAATTATAATGGGAAAAAAACAAAGGTGTTAAAGTAATAAAGTTTTCTTGTGTGTTTTTCTTATGTTTTCTTTTTTTTTTTACTTCTTTAGTTTATTTTACGTCTTGCTTTTGCGACAAATGAAACAATGTACAGTGAACAAAACTGCTTTTTTAAATGGTTTGGTTGATTTCTTTTTAAATATATTACAGTATGTATATATGTATTTTATTTTCAGACTCACACAGCCTTAGTCATTTTTTCTTTTGATTTTTAATGTGCTGTTCGAATTGAAAATGAAAACTTTAAAGGTGCCAAAACCATATGATCCTATACTTGGATGCATCAAGTCCCGATGAATAAAATACGAGCCCTAGGGGGAACAAATCACCATGTTTCACTGTGTGTTTGTAACAGCATTTTTTTGTTTGTTTGTTTTTGTTTTGTTTTGTTTCACTTGTCTACCAGTGATACAGCACACAGCACACCTTTTTATTTTGAAAGTTGAGAGTTTACTGTTTGTCGTTATGGTACACTGTGGAACGGAACATTAGTTCCCATCTTTCTTGGCTTCTAAACACTTAAAATGAAGCACTTGTGACCCCTCCTTACAGGTTTCGGTCTCAGTGTGCACATGAGTCATGAGCAGTTGAACAAAAATAGTGATTTCCTACTCTCAGATTGTTCAATTTGAAAGAGATGAGCGAACCCAGTGTCTCACAAGAAAATATCAAATCTCAGAGGGTCCGAAAAAATAAATTAGACAATATAATCTGAACTCAAGTGTCCACTTACTCACTTTTTCACAGCTTTCATCTGTTTTCATTTAGTCCTTCAGCTGTTGTGTCAGTTAAGCTTTGACCAGGTGCCAGTTGTTCAAAATGTTTCATCTGGATCAAAGTGATCCGGAGTTGGAAAGCCCATGTTTTGCTATACAGGATCAGGTAAGCCTCTACTTTTGTGCTGGGTTTTCAAGGTAACATTGGATTAGATCACCCTTATCCAGACAGAAACTTTTTAAGATGACCAGCTATATATCACACTGTAGGCAACTAGCTATATAAGGAACAACAGGTAAACTGGCCAGCGTGGGGTCACTCTGTTATCTGTTTCAACTGAAAACAGTATAATAAAACAATACAAACATCCTCTTCCATTTTTAATTTCTTTTAAACAGTCAGACCCCTCATCTGACCTACAAAAACCACATAAACACTATTCACAGACTTGTGGATATTTAGAACATGTGTTTTAAATCATGAAAAGACTAAATGTCCAATAATGGATTAAATGTAAAGGTCTTCATTTGTGGAGAGACCTGATCTTTGAAGTTCATCTTTTAGAAGACGGACATCAAGTCTGGCTTTGGCTTACTATACTGAAAGGCTTAATGTCTGTTTTATTTACTGTATTTTCTTTATCATTTCAAAGATTCCACAATTGAATTGCAAAATATAAATGCATTTATATATTGCATGAAACAAATTGTATATTATTGTATTATTTGACCAATTTTGAAGTTTTATTGCATTTTGTACCTGAATCCACTTATCTGCTGGGATCAGGATAATCCTGATGTTTTGGATCACAGCACAAATTGAAGATTTGATCCAGATGACAACCAGGACTAGATTATATAATCTAGTATGATATCAAGTGTCTGATTTTCCTTTTGAACAAACCAGTTTCCGGATTTGATCCACTCCAAAAAACAAAATCTGATCGGATTACTTCTGAACAACTGGCCCCATATGAAAACTACATGACAGATACTACATCTGTTTGCTGATAAAAGCCATGACATGTGGTTAGCGTAGATCCAATAAGAGTAAGTTGATCCTGAGATAAGATTGTTTTCTCAAACTGTTGTTCTAAAAAATTATTTTGTATGTGTAAAATAAAATTTCACTTGACTTCTGCTGTACAGACACAGCTCTTCTATACACCAGTGAGCACACGTTCTCTTTCTCCTTCTTAAAAGTGAAAAAGGCAGCATGTAAGACATAGACAGCCGTGGCATCTTTCTAGGACATGGCATAACACTAGCAGATGTATTCTACTGGCAGCTTGCCAGTAAAGACAACGCCTGACACCTTTCTACACAAACAACCTAAAAAGCTTTGCTTTCAGTGGCTAACATTCGACTGTGAGTGTTGGTTTGTGTGTGAAGATGCGCACACTTATGCCGCTAAAGCAGATACACCATGCAAATTTATTAATGAGACATTCTTCAGGCCCATGGTGTGTTTTATGTATGTGTGGTGGAGGGGGAGCCGAATGCAAAAAGGGGTATTGGAAGAACAGGACTAAACAATAAAATCAGTGGATTTACAGAATAAACAGAGTCCAGTATAACTGTATGCATATTATTCATGCTAAACACTCTAGCTCTAGAAAGGTTTACAGGACATCAGATTTATCAATAAGGGAGTGGAGAGAAAGGTTTCTATTAAAAAAAAGGTGCTGACATCCTGGTTTGCCATTATGTGAATTCACTGACATAGGCCGCTCTCCATAAATTTGAAGGGAAATATGTCAACCTTAGCAGTCCAAATGAATAGTGTGTTTTTTTAAACATATAGCCATCTTTATTCAGAATTTATATAAAGAAGTCATTTTACAAGCCTGGATTGCCTTAAGTGAACGTGTGTGTGTGTTGGGGAGGAAGCTTAGAGATCCTGTTGTTTTCTCATAAGCAACTGTCTGAAAGTCACATCCTTAATATGTTTTAGGAATGAATGAATCAGTTTTTATCCCCTCTCCTCATCTCCTTCCCATTTTGTCTCCTTGTCTTCTCTCATAACTTTTTCAACATGATGTCTTATCACATATTTCACTGTGAATTGGACCTGCCAGTCAGCAAGCAGTGAAAGATTCATAAACGTACAAAAATACATCCACTGTAATACTCTGGGATGCAAGTTTAACCAACTTCCTTAATCGATAGTTGCCCACATTAACAGGCATTGAGCAATTCATTTGTGAAATGCCGTGGTTTTTGTTTGGTTTTTTAAATAACCATTACTGTAATGAGAAACCTAAAGAAAGGATTCAGGGTTTGGCAACATGTATCAGTGTCTTACACAATTTAATCTGGGGTTGCTTGAGTATAACTTTCCCTAAAAAACTAATTAAGAGCAAGAGAGAGCTGCTAACACTCCTCTGAAAATTGATATAGTAACATCTGAAGTCATGTGCAGTAGATGTCTGAGCAGACACCTTTGAAGTGGTGAAAAACAACACAAAACAAGCAGAAATGGTCTTTTGTAAGTGACGTTGATCTGTGTTATGTTCCATCTAGCTCCTGACTATGTACTTATGAGATATAGAACCATACCCTCCTCTTCCTCTTCCTCTGGTTCCTCATAGAGGGGTGCAGCAATCCAGAGGAAGAGAGGCATACCCTTGAAGAATCAGCGCAGTGTGTTCTTGGCAGGACAACAAAGTTGGAAACTGCACCATGATGTTAGGAAGAGTCAGGGCAAGAGCTCCCAGCGCCAATACTGATGATAGCTCCACCCACAGCTACAGCACCATGCAGCCTGACCGGGGCCCCATGATGCTCAGAGGACATATTGCCATGGTCTGTTAGGGCGCAAAGTGTCATTTATTGGAAAAAGGACAAGAGAAAAGGGACAAGAGGCAGAGGAAATCCATCTTCTGCACTGTCTGTTAAGGTGTTAACAAACAGCCGCATATTAACACACCCAGGAGATATGGAGCAATATTAGCTTTCATTTGGATTTGTGTTTTCTGCCACGTGATGGCTGTGTGTCCAGTATTCACTCTTTTAATTCCACTATGTTTACCAGTCACTGCTATTTGATGCTGTGCACGTAGTGTACAGGTGGTTTCCAAAGCTGACACCTTATTCTTCCTCTTCACCCTCCTTTCAGTTCACTCTTTCTCTCCCTCCTTCTCCTGTGCAGTGTGAAGTGGTATTGGGGGTCAGTGGAGCGGGTATTTGGATGGGTGGCAATGTGAGAAGATGAGGCCTGAGGAACACACTGTATTTACTGCAAACACACTGACTCTCTCTCCTTCTCTGACCAAGCTGGCTCTAGCAGCCTGCCGGGTTACATAACCTCACACCAACCCAACTAATAAGCTTTCTTTGGTTTTACCGGACAACGTTCTGGGACCCATGAAAGCTGTGTGGTCACTCAAAGTCCAAAGCAAAACCTGAAGTCACTGAAAATTGGCTGCAGCGTTCACAATCATTCTCCATGGATTACTGCTCTGGAAACATACTGTATATACAACTTGAAATGTGTGTGTGTGTGTGTGTGTGTGAATGTCTGTACAGAGGAATGTTTATCTTTCTCCTGTCCATGCAAACACTGCATGTTCATGCCTATGTGTGTGTGTGTGCATGTAAAAGAGAGAGGCTGTTGTTTGTGCTGACCAGAGAACAGTTGCTGACTGCGCTCACCCCAGGTTATTTTTGGGTCATGCAGAGTTGAATGGCAACAAAGAGCTATAAGCATGGTCAGCCTGCTGAAAAAGAAAATAAATCACTGGAGCAAACATAGTCTGAAATGACACATTCACATCTCCCCCACTGCTGATACAAGCAGTATGAAGCTTTGTCATTTCCTACATTAAAAAAAAATAGACTAAAGAGGAGTCAGAGCTATGTCACTGCTACTTTACAAATCATCTGAAGCTTTTAAACCCAGCTCTGAATAGAGGGGAGTTTAAAAAAGAGAGAGATAAAGAGGATGAAGTGAAGTGGCACACAAAGTGCTTTGGGATGCGTGAAGGGAATGGGGCGCCGTGCTCTGCCCTCTGGTGGTGTGACGAGAGACAGGGTGCAGGGCTGCCGAGTGTCAGCTCAGGGAACGCTGTGTCCATGAACGGGCCTGGAATACTGATGCCACAGTGCAGGGGTGCAGGAGCTGCAGTCTGGCAGATTCACTGTCATCTACAGAGACCCAGACATAGGAGGACTTCTGACTCCTCTGTGATACTATACAGCTTTAGTTAGTAGTGTTTACAGTGCAATCCAAAATAGCCAAGAGACACATAAGCATCATTTGAAGCCCAAGAGAAAGAAAAAATGCCTTTGTTAGTGATTCCCACCCGTTTACAGCTCGACTCCTGCTTGGTTTTTGTTACTTAAACAATTTTCTTGAGAATGCTCCCTTCAAAATTTAACTGAAATGTGTCACATCTTAAATGCAGGTCAGACTTTTGAGGGCTTGTGGTGCAAAAAATTAGAATGACTGGGGCTTGTC